GATTGTCACTTGAAATTGTTGCTGAGTAGAAGATCCATGTGCTCAAAGCCTCAACCAGTAACGTAGGAGAACAAAAACAAACACAAAGGCGTAAAAGATAAGCCATGAGAGATAAAAATCGTACGTAGAACTTTTACAGAACTGTAGAATTTAGCTCCATCTGAAGATTTGAACCGAACTCACTGTAACATTAAAGCGCTGGTACATACCATAAAACTTCATAGCAATGGATAATTTTTAGTCTCTTGAAGCTAGCGTATGGACCTCGTTTACCGTTTTTCGCTACGTTAGCACGAGAATAAGGTGGTAGAAATTGAGGGTTTCATAATGTTGTAACCAATGGCTCGCCACCCCACTGCAGCCGAGTAGCTGATAAAACGAAAATTGGTTCATCTCACAACGTTGGCTCTCAGAAGCAATAGTAGAGATGCCGTTCACTAACAGCAGGACCCTGGTTCGACTCAGGCCCACCAAGCATCCTATCCATCCGAGATAGCGAAATTGGTTTCAGGCTTTTGTGTGACCAGCTCGTTCATTCGCTCTTCGCTAACATAGGTATCCCAAGAATCCAGAGATAACTGACTGAGAAGATCGAAATCCTCAAGCAGCCGCCGAATCCGGACCCAAAAAATGCAAAAACCTTCGTGGATGACAGATGGGAAGGAACAAATAGATTGTAAGAGGTGCCGGGATCTAGACAAATCAGCAGAATGGTTGTTTAAAGAGGTAATGTTTTAAAAAATTAGTTACCTTGGAGTCCCAAAGGAAGAACCAGTACCTCATCCACCACTATAGAAGCTTCAGCATTAAGCCCATAAAAAGCATCTGCTTACGTCACGTCGGGAGATAGGATAAATGATGAAAGGGGATCAAATCCATGGTTGCAAAGGGCATCATTGGCTCTGTTCCAAAATAACGGCTGCAAGACACGTTATGAAAAGCCACTTTGCTACGCACTTGCGACAGGAAAACAGTCTCCTCTAACACCGATCTTCACTTTCTTCGCGGCCATATTAAATACCATGTGATCATTCTGCAAGGGACAGAAAGCACAAACACCAGCGTAGTCAATCATATGACAAAATCGTCGCCATCCGTATCCGCGAAGAAACAATCTTGCAACTAAATGTCATCATTGTACTCATTCGTAGCGAATGAAACGCTCTGCTTGATTGCTTTGACGGAAAAGACTGGGACGAAAAGTTCTTCCGTATGTTTTTTTCAAAAACTTCGCAGCCAGATTTTCAAAAAACTAAGCCTGATGGTGAACTTGGATAAGGAATCTAAAAAGGTTGCAGTAGGAGAAAAGAATGTCATAAATGCTGTCACGCTTTTTCGTTGTCAGAAATACCCGTGAAAATTCCTCATAGGAGATTTACAGCGGAAATCTCCAATTTTCTCGGCTGGTTCAAACCCACTAATTTGGAATCGGATCAAAGTAAACAGAAACTATTCAGGCTACAAAACTGCAGACAAATTCGTGAATTGATGAGGGAATTGATTTATACAAATTATCTTCGTTGTAAACCATAGAGTTAGGCATCTGCTCCACACACGGTCTACATCCACCATAGCTTAGGAAAGCAGTTAAGTGCTTAAAAAAAACATAGCCGAGTGACGGTAGTTCATTCCAGTCGTGCTCCACTCCAGAAGATATGAATCAATGTAACTAGGAAAACCCATGTCACGAAAACGAGGATTTCCTGAGGACAATCGACTCGAAATAATCCGGTTTTGAAGAGGGATAAACCACATATAAAAAAAAAGTAATTCATTGTCCTCATGGTAGTTAAAAGGTGATAAAGAGAATAATCCGGTTTAGTCATTGATCGGAGCTTGAGAATGTGAAAGAGATTGCCTTCAGCTTTTATCAAGGAAGTTTAGTCGTAACTGATATGACATGGATGAAGAAACGCAAGCCAATACTTCATCGAACTTCGTAAACATAATTTCACTGCATATCTGCACATAAAAACAATAATATCTTAAAATATGTTACATAAAATCCAAAGAAACCATTCCGCTCAGAAACGACTCACATCGCTCTGGGTGAATTCTAAACGAAAGTAAGATAAAGCGACACAATCTTCACAAAAAAGTTGTTGCTGAACTAATCCGTGTTTGCCGATAGAAACTCGTCCATTCCACAAGAAGTGATCAGGCTATCTCATCCTAAATGCGTATAATTACACAATAGATTACAAAGTAAAGTTCATGGAATTGATTAATGCCGATCCTCTGGTATCAATGCTTTGGCGCTCTACGGTCTTGTGGATTCGGTGGAGCTTGCCAGAGACTAATTTTTTTAAGCCCTACTGGGCTTGAAGGCTTGATTGACTTGGGACCATGTCAAACCGAGGCCTTGCGCATATTGAACGACATCATTATCATTGCGCTACGGATGGCTCAATAAGGGCATACACTCGTGGGAAGGATTATGGTGATAATGGAAACTAAACCACTAGCGCGTAGGAAAGAAATGCGACAGTAGTTGTATTTCTAGTACATTTTTTGAAACAAAAGAAACTGTAAAAAGCTTTCGTAATGCCTTTTTATGGAATAATCAAAGATATTCTTCGAATGTGACTTATATTTCGTCCTTAATACCGCTGATGAACAGTACCCATGCTGTCTTGGACTCTCTTGGAGAGAAGACAGTGGACAAAAGATAAAGTGAAGGATCAATACACTCAGATGACCAGCTTTTGGAAAACCTGCTGGAAGAATTTCGACGGACAGTTATAATCGCAATTAACTATGGTTTTTGTTCCCACTCCAAGAGCATTCGTCTAGAGGTGATCAAAGAGTTTTGGAAACCAGCAAACGAGTTCTCAAACAATGAAGTACACTCCTAGCCGAAAATTGAAGCTGGAAATTGCAAAGGCTTTCATAGAACACGTTGTGGATTATTTGATATCGTTTAGTTTGCACTGCACCTTGTCAATGACGGTTTACAAGCTATTGTGGAAGTGAACTAGTACCGAACACAAATTCGGATAACCAGCAAAGTACCACCACAATGATGCTGAGATATTTGCAAAACTTGGAGTCTACAGCAAATCGAGTTGCGACTACCCTTTCAAAAAAAGGCAGAACGAGGGCCTCAACGGTACCAAGCGTAACATGTGAGCTTCCGAGAAAAGTAAACGCTGTTCGATCTGGCGTTGGGTCCAAGTTTTGTAAATGTCTCAGGATCATTGTAGCTGTATTTCACAAATATTCTGCCATAAAAAATAATGGTCCAGTAGATAAAAGGTATACATTATCAAAGTACCTTCAGATTGAATCCTCCCGTTGTATTGATGATGTGTCGGTAGTAGAGGAATACCACAGAGAACGCGACGGTGAACACGACTGCTCCCGTGGAGAAACCAAGCACGAAGACTGGCCACCACTGCCCTTCAACGATCAACTTTAACATTATAACCACAACGTTGCTGAGATATTTGCAAAACTCCGGACAGCAGGTGTCTATGGTGGGGAACGAACGCNCACACCATGCGGGTCCTTTGTTTCGCCTGTCTCTCAGCTATTTCTATTGATCTTTGCCACAGCAATCACCCGTCAGCGGAGAAATAGCTGAAAGACGTGCGAAACGAAGGACCCGCATGGTGTGGTGGTGAACGCGTTACTCCCCGTAAAGGATAATAGCGCATTCGTTCCCCACCATAGACACCTGCGGTCCAGAGTTTTGCAAATTTCTCAGCAACGTTGTGGTTGTATTTCGCTTAGTACCCTGCCGCGAAATTATAGTATGCAGAAAATAAAAAGGTATAACATTTTAACATTATAGTTATTATAGAATAATATTCGCGTGTGGCGCAGTCGCCGAAGGCGCCAAGCAACACACACGTGGAATCGATCCCCGGGTCCTTGGCTCATCAAGCTCTCCATCCCTCCGAGGTCGTCATATTGGTACCAGAATTGCCGGGGAGGATAGCAACACTGGATCGATAGATCGATAGGCCACTGCGAGTCATTATGAAGGCCAGATATGCATTCATTCATTCATCTTCGAACGATGCTTAATGAAATGGAATGCATGGCGCATCAGGGATTAATTAACGTCGAGAGCTTTATCCTTATCCTTTATAAGATAATTTTGTGCAGTAATAATGGATATAGAATTCTTTCTTACATAACAGTTAATTCATTTATAGTTTTCCTCTTCTGGTGAGTTTCATGTAATAATTTCGGTTAAAAAATAGCGTAAAATATAAAGCATTCGACGATTATCGCTCCCATAGGCATGAACCATGCATTCTAATCCAAGCATAGCGTCATAGTGGTGCTGAATGTATATTTAACCTATGCTGTGACTTGTATGGATGTAAAGACATATCAGTTCAACGTACTTGCTCTTCCATACAAGTCTGGTACAAATTTGCATCTCCGGGAAGGATGGAGGGTTTGCTTGATAGACGTACCGTACAGCTCCTTCTGATGTTATGGTCAAAATTTGTGTTTGTTACAATACATGAGACTACCTAGTGTCCAGAAGGGTTACTGACATGGTCTGGACTATTCAAGACAGTAGATTGAACAAATACTTGAAAATATGGATTGATTTTATCGACAATTAAAATAGTGGATTAATTGGTCGTTCAGTAGAGTTGAATAAGAGACAGATGTAGAAAATGGGTTTCTCATTGGGACAAACAAGAAGCCTTACGTACACTTGAAATCTTTCCAAAGTGCACTAAATGGATCTTGGTAGGTATGGAAATAGTACTACACAACGTACCTCTTGCTCAATGAAATGATTTGATCAAACATTTTGCGATATGACTGAAGAAAAACGAGATATCCTTGCATTATTATTACTGTCAGTAATGTGAACCAAGCAACATGAAGCTCACCCCAGTCGATGCTGCCGAGCGAGGTCACGTATCGGCTAGAATCCATGACGACCACTGGATGCCATTTCGATTTTCCACGCTTGTTTCAGAGTGCTTGAGAGTGATCTCCCGATCGACACCACGTTAGTGTGCGTTTTTTAGTCGGACTATCGGCGATGGTTGTCACGGGGAAATGCGGAGAAATACGAAGACAGTCGGCTCTCTTTTTTCATCTACGATACAGATGATGATAAGGAGCTAATAAAGGATGAAAAGAAGCAGAACTCTGTAAAAGTCCAAACTTTGCAAAAGAATCAGTTGCGGGTGTTCCTTGTGGTAGCGAGTTCTCCCCAGTGTCCCAGTTTAAACAAGATCATTAAAGAAAACTGGCATCGAAATCGGCTTCAGCAATGATCACCACGGCGTTACCGTTTGGAGGCAATCGCTAAGCGTTACATCTAAGAAATTAAGATTACTAATATCAAAATCTCAAAACGTTTACTGCTACGCCTTAATTTTTTACACAAAGTTATAACTTTTACATATTCCACTACATAATATAAAGTAGACGACGGCGTATAGAGCAGTGGTCAGAGGTGTTGTGGAAAGTTCAACTACGCATTCCTGACAAACTGAGAACTACATCCCACTCTGATCGGTCCTGAAGTTACTATGAGGCCAGTTAGCAAGAGTAAAAACAGGCATGATTTGCAAAAATAAAACCCCAGGGCAGATTCGAATCTGCGACTACCCTTCTTGGAGGCTTACGTGTTGCCCACTATACCACTCTTTCGTTCTGTTTCTTTCTCTCAGCCAGTTTTTTACATAATGGAGCCATCACCAAGCGATCACCGGTCAACGGTAATGATCTGGGAGTACAAATCGGCAATGAACCCAGTTAAGCTGAGGCCGCAGAAAGACCAGTATGTACAACTTTCTGTTCACTGCTCATTACTTTTTCGCGGCAAGGTATTATGAGAAACGCAACCACAAAGATACTGAAAATTTGTAAAACTCAGACCGCAGACCAGATTCGACGCCGATTTGTGCTCACCAAATCATTTTCGTTGACGGGTGAATTCTGATGGCACCAATAATTTTGAAACCGCTCGTCATTTAACCTCGGTACTGTAATAACCAGCATTTGTTTATATTGTTGAGCTTTCACGAGGTTGACAGAGATGTTTAATCGGCTGACGTTTCGAAGTCTTCGTCTTTATCTTCCTCACGAAGACGCCACATAGAGAAGAGGAACAACTGTGGACCATCGACAACGATCGTCGTCGGTTCTGATGAAGACGAAGGTGCGGAAACGTTAGCCGAATAATCATCTCTATCTGATGGCACCGTTAAGGAAAAAAGCTGGTTGAGAGAAAGGCAAAGCAAGGGCCACAGTGGTGCAGTAGGTAACACGTAAGCTCTCGGTAAATGTAACCAAGGGTTCGAATCTGTAAATAGATATCTCAGCATCCACAATGATGCTGAGATATTTGCAAAACTCCCGACCACCGGTGTCTGCGGTGGGGAGTAAACACGCTTTTATCCTTTTCGGGTTTCCTTCAGTGAAAAATTATAGTAGGCAGTAAATAAAAAGTTGACATTATCTCAGCATCATCGCGGTTGTTTTTCACATATCCCGTTTACAAGAAAATAATAGCAGTAAATAGAAACTTACAGTTACTGATTTCGACTGAATTGACTGATCGATAGGCTCCTGCAAAGCAAATGTGCGATATTTAAAGAAAGGCAAAGGATAAAGGATGAAGCTCTTAGCGTTGATCAGTTTTTAAGGGAAGTGCCATGCATATGACCTCATTAGGCATCGTTAGTGGTGATTGAATGCATATCTAACCTCTACGATGACTCGCGCTGCCCTACCGATGTAGCGAGTCAGTGCTGCTATCCTCGACAAGTCTGGTCCCAATTCTCCAATCGCGGAAGGTTGGAAGGCTTGGTGATCTTGGGGCGCGCGATTCGATCCCATGTGTATTCTAGGGCGCATGTAACCATTGCACTACGTGCGCGACGATACTTAATGATGCCAAAAACATAGGGCATCTCTAAGGTAGTGATTAACGTTAAAAGCTTTTTACCTTAAGCCTTTATCAATCTTAACACTTTAGGGATAAGTGGCACCCATCGGTATCACAATGGTTTTTCGGGAGTGATTGGTGAATGAAGAAACCTATAGCTCTCGTTTCATTTTGCAGTGGTTTAGCCAGACAGAATTATTTTCCTATTCTTTTGCTATCATTCGATAATTTTTAAAACAGTGATGTACAGCATTGTCGGTTTGCCGGCTTATGCTCTCCAGATAATTTCCTTTGATGGGTGATTGCTCAAAACACCGATAGAGTAAAAAAGCTGTCTGAGAGGAAGGTAAATCAAAGGCCTCGGTCTCGGTGCAGTGGATAGCATGCGAGCTCCTGATAACGATAATTGCGAGTTTGAAGCCTAACGTTTCGAGTTTTGCTTATGCCTCAAAAACTTCATGGTTAGAATCCGACGATAATTAAAACTGTGAGATTATTTTGTCAAATAGATGAAATATGATTCATATTGACATGAATATTTAAGTCGCGAAAATAAGAACATTCAGTTCTAACTCTGATCAAGGTAATCTCAATACAACCAGTACTGTAGTTCTTTTTCAGTTTACTTCATTGTGACAAAACCTTTTGGTACTGGAGAGATGTTTACTCCCTTAAATTCCAAAAGCTTGACGAGTTTGATGGGAATGGTAAGCGTTGCTGAACAACAAATCGGTGCACACTTGTTGTTTCGCTTTCGAATTCCTTAACAAACACGAAACGGTGGTTGTTCTCTATCTTCACACGGAGCCGGTGGACCTCAGGCTCATGATGACTCTCCTTTGCAAATCCAGCGGAGGTCATATTTAGTCAAGAGGTTCATAACTTTTCTTTAAAGCAGGTTTCGCTCGAAATGTCGCGACATGAGCTCTCCGAATTCCCAGCGCTGGCGCCTATTTCAATACCTTCTACAGCTACTACGTTTGCTATGTCTGAACACTTCATTTTGTTCTTAAACTCTAAAAGAAACTAATAACACTAACCACTAGATGTCCGGAAAAATACTCGGTATACTTCTCTTTAATCGTAATTGCGTGTACTGTGTGCTGTGAGCGTTTGGCGTTAGTTTGGTATGTGTAGGTGTGTTCTGTATATATTTTTGTACATACGTGCATATGGATATACGCGTGTGTGCTTTGGGGTGCGTACATGTACGGGTGCGCGTGCATGTGTACGCATGTGTATGTGCCTGTGTGTGTACGCGTATACGTGTTTGTGTGTGTTTACGTGTGCATCTTCCACACTGCTCCCAATCCTTGAAACCCTCTATCTGTCGGAAACTTATCGTTAGTTGAAGAAAAACAGATAAGCGTCTAGCAACTTGAAATTTGTAGTTATTGGGAAAACAAAATTAGGCGTCTCCATCAATGGGAAGGATGTAAAGGTCTTGTAACAACTTCTTGTAAGCTTACGAATATAGAAGACCAAAGAAGAAGCGTCGAGATACCGAGCAGAAAAAAAAACGCCCTTGTGGAAGAATATCATCGTCAATGACATTAAGGAAAAAGAAAGTGGGTGATGCATTTCAGTAAAAGGATAAAAGCTCTCCGCGTTGATCAATCCCTGAGGGATGCGCCATGCATTCGATATCATTAAGTATCGGTGGTGGCGATTGAATGCACATCTGGCTTTTACAATGACTCGGTGTGGCCTACCGATGTATCGAGCCAGAGCTGCTATCCTTCCAGACAAGTCTGGTACCAATTTGCCAGCCTCGGAGGGATGGAGGCCTTGGTGGGTCATGGGCGCGGGGATCGATTCCACGTGTGAGTCACCGTGGCGCCTCCAACCACTGCGCCACGTATGCCTTCGGTATGTAATATGTAATTCCCGGAATCTCCATAGCACAAAAATAGTAATCAGTGTGTATTTTTTGCTATAAAACCAGACGGTCATTGTTGGCAACACGGACTGGCTTGCCGTAGTATCCCTTGTTTTACTTGAAAAAACGAAACAGAAAAACCTCCTCGAAAAGACGGTAGTGGGCGGTTCGTGGCACATGTGATAATTTGTGCAATAAACTTCACCAATATATCAGTTAGTAGTGGTTGAGAATCCTAGCGGTTCAAATCGAAATGTTTTCATTCATACAAAGAAGTCCCCCAAAAAATGTGTCAGTCAACTTCGCGCCACAAGACGAAGGTTTGTGACCTCGATTAAATCTCCTCCAAAAGACGTTATACTGAAGAAGTTCTTCGAATGCCTCAACGTACCTCCATCGACAATTTACTCGAAATTTACATAAACCAAAAATTTTACTTTGTACCCAACAGATTTTGGCGTGCAAAATGAAAATCTCCGAATAAATACACAACACAAAGAGACTAATACGTATCTTCTGCTAGTGTTACTACTTCTTCCTCTTCTTTCCTTTCGCTTTTCCTTTCGCCTTCTTAACACTTTTCTTTCCTTTCTTGCTTTTTTTCTTATTCTTACTTTTTTTGTCCAATTTCCCTTTCTTCTTTGCATTCGCAAGTGCAATACCTTTCTCCAATCCTTTCTTTTCGTCCTGCAGTTGTTGTCTTCCTTCTTCTTTCAATCGCTTCTCTTCTTTCTTCTCCTCTTTTTTTTGCCCTTCTTCCTTTCCTTCGCCTTCTTTTTTCGCCTCATCACCTTCATCTTCCCTTTTTTCGGCAAGCTAAATGTGATACAACTTATTTATAATTTACTTTTTAATTGCAATTCACAAGTCATTTTTGACAAAATCTGGGTGCCATTGTTAAAGGTTACCTTTTTGACGAAACTATACCTTATTTTGGCAGTGAAACCCTGACCACTACAGCTATTTCTTCTAAATTTAATGTAGTCCACTAGAGGATATCCATATGTTCTTATCCATGATCAACCTAAGTAAGGCATGGTAGTATTGAATGTTGGGCGAATGAAGAAAGCAAAATATTTTAAGCAATCCACTAGAAATAATAAAATCCTATGCTTTTCATAGATTCCAATATTTATTTCTGATACAGACCCTCAGTGGCTAATTAGCCGACTGGAAAACATAAGTGAAGCAAATTGTAGTCTGTCGTAAAGGTTTATTGCGGTTTCCTTTTAGATTTTCAACTCATACGGTTGCCGACCAACATGTGCAAAATAACAAGCGCTTAGACTACTACCATAACCATAAAGTGACTCATTCGAATAACTGACCTTCACATCAGAAGATGACGTTCCGGGTGTGCCTGATGCAGATCTTGAAGATGCGGAAGGTGGTGCATCTCCTCCTGGTGGTGCATCTGTCGCTCCAGGCGATGTCGACGAACCTTCCTTAACAAAAAAAAATCAAAATGTCGCTTGCTCAGTTAATACTCAACAGAAATTTTGATACACATCTACGAATGTCGCTGATAATGTTTAGTCTGCAACAGAACGATTATTGGAAAATCAGCCATACAGAAAATCATCACGTTCCCTTATGGTCTTAGCAATACCCTACCAGCAGTGTTTTCTTGGATTAGTTTTACCAAACGACATTTAAGAATATCATAGCACTTATCAGGGTGGCGCGTGTGGCGCAGTGGTCGGAAGCACCTAGCAATACACACGTGAAATCGATCTCCGCTCCCCAGGCTCACCAAACCTTTTATTACTTCGGGCTAGACAAATTGGTGCCAGACTTGTCTGGAAAGAAATCAGCGCTGGCTAGATCATCGGTATGATCATCACCTCTAGCGATGCTTAATGAAATCGAATGCATGGCGCATTCCTCAAGAATTGATCAACGCTGACAGCTTTATTCATTCATCCTATATAGGATTTCTTAGCGCGCAAACAAGCAATTAGATATGCTGGATGCAATAGCGGAATTCTTACTTCGCCTTCCTCACCGCCCTCATCACCTTTTTTCCCACACGTCGTCAGTGAGAAAAGTGCACATGTTGCCCACTGCAGCAGGAGGTAAATCCAAATGGGAGCCATTTGTTCTAAAATGGACATTTTGTTTTAAGAAACTTTCACTGGACCGCTCACACCTACCTGAGATGCTGGACGGTATACGGACCAAATCGAATAGAGAAACGCAGTTAAGTGAATTCCGAAGAGTACAAAATTGAAATGAACCCTAGTCCATTCTCAATGATGGCAATGGTCATGATAAGCCCACATACCAAACTTAGTCATCAGTTTTGCTATCATAATCATCAAAATCAGCAACCATCCATAACAAAGCGGCTTAGCGAATGGTCGTAGATATCGCTTAAATCTGGAATCAGGTAGGACCCATGAAAATAAGGTCACTACAGCAAGGGCGGAGCATAATATTGCTCATCAGAATGGAGAAAATTAGAATCTTTCCATTTTTATCAGCAAAAAAGTGTTCATTCAGCGAATGAGGCGAACGGACGAGATTTCTTCAATCATTAAAGAATTTAAGGACCTGTAAAACCAATATATTTACTGAAGAGAGTTTGCTCTTTTTTCAATATCTTTAACATTCGAACTCCCAAAAAGCAGAGATTTCAAACAGAACTTTTAAGAGTCCAACACATGCTCGCAAGCCATAAACATCACATTGTAGGAGACGACTGCGCTCTAAAAGAGGATATTCCGCTTGTTCAAGATAATTTTTCCTTTTTTTCTACGGTTCTTGCATACGAGCCTTTACAAAAAGAATACTACCTACTTGTATTCTTTCTTGATAAGCTTGCACGAGGTTGATAAATATATTTATTTTCGGCTAACGTTTCGACGTCTTCGTCTTCCTCAGAGCCGATGATCCGAGTCGATGGTCCATGATTGCTGTTCGTCTCGACGTTGTAGCTTCGCCTTCGTGTCGAGCTAGGTCTTCCTCAGTGATCCATCTTCTGGAATGAGGCATCCTCACTCAGTGATGCCCTTTTATACACGATGCTGATGGTGGTTATATAATGATAATGTCCGGTGGTAACAACTTGTATTTCTTCCGGACATACATCATTACGGACATCATGCAGAAGTCGGTGTTTTATCAGCTAGCACAAAGCGTAGTAATATTTCGAAACCGACTTTCTCTAAACTTCGGTGTGACTAATCAATATGTATTCTTTCTTGATAAGCTTACACGAGGTTGATAAATATATTTATTTTCGGCTGTTTCGACGTCTTCGTCTTCGATAGAAATTATAGTTAAATGGAAATGATAAGATAAAGAAATACTGCTATGAATTTTGTGAATGATGAGAGGTAAACGAAA